CAAGGACTTTCTCGAAATACTCTTGAAATAAAAAACCAAGACTATTTAAAAGGAACATCTCTTCATAACAGGAAACCGAAACTTAAGATCCTTATTGGGTCTGTGGGGTCTAAGAGCAATAAGGTTGCCTATGTCAACACACTTCTCGAGTTTCTTTCTCAACACACAAACTTGTCAAACTCAGTGCTCTGGACTCCAGCCACTACTCGGGTTGCCTCACTGTACTCTGCAGCAGATGTTTATGTTATGAATTCCCAGGTAGGGATTTACATGGCTTGTTTAGCTAGGTGATTTTTCAGGGCATGGGAGGTTTGGTTATTGTTTTGCTAATTCATCTATATTTGTTAGAACTAGAAAATGACACTCCCTCCACCCCCCAAAAAAATCTATTTGAAAACTAATTCCAACATATTCTGTATTTTTTAAGTGTCTTAATGAAGTTAAGTTCATTAGTTTTAGTTAAATCAACATAGGATTATGTAACCTTGGATTTTATCTTATAAAATCTTCATAAAACACATACCAGTACAAGTTTAAAAACATTAGCTAGAATTGATGATATAGTTAGGCCTTCATCAAATTTTAAAAATTGAACTTCGGTGAAACAAGACTGTTTTGGGGATGATGGTAGTATATGCTTTAGTTAAATACTGTATTTTTATACTGTATCATTTTCCATCTTCGATTTTGTTCCAACTATCCAAAGCTAAGAATAAATTAATAAAATGGATATCCCCCCTCTGAAATTTTCTAACAAAACAAGGGCTATGCTTTTCTATCATGTTTGTCCATTTGAATTTTGAAGCAATGTTTTTTCTATCTATTGAGATTTTTATTAGCATTTGAAGTGTTACCAATTGTGTCACAGGGACTCGGTGAAACTTTTGGGAGAGTAACTATAGAAGCTATGGCATTCGGTCTTCCAGTAAGTTACATTATGCTTCGTCTATATTGTCTTTGCTTGCTTATATATTTGACTTATGCCATTTTCAATTCAATTATTTAAATATTGGTTATATATTTAAAAACCACATCTAAAGTTCTACAAAACAATAGGTGACTGACTATCATTTTATCAAATGATCAATGGAAATATGTAAATAAAGAAAATATAGTTTGACCCTGCGAATACTAAATAGTAAATGAGAAGATTAATAGGGGACGGTTGGTGTAGTATTCAACAAAAACTTGATTGCATAAGATTAGATATTAATCTACTTGTCAACGGTTCTGCACCTACTGTGATTAACTCGAAAACATGAACTAAGAACCAGTAGTGATAGTAAGTGGTGGTTACTTGAATGCTATACATTTTTGGTTACTTGATGTTTCTTTCCTTATGTCTAATTTTTGTGGGGTAGGTCATAGGAACAGATGCTGGAGGGACAAAGGAGATTGTTGAGCACAACATAACGGGTCTTCTCCATCCCTTGGGACGTCCCGGAGCTTCTGTTCTTGCCCAAGACCTTCAATATTTGCTGGCGAACCCATCAATTCGGCAACAGTTAGGGAGCAAAGGGAGAAAGAAGGTAGAAGGTATGTACTTAAAGAAGCACATGTACAAGAGATTTGGAGAGGTTTTATATGATTGCATGAGGATAAAATAGGTTGTGTAGAGTGGACATTGTCCAAAATGCCCTCCTTGAAAAGGCATCTCAAAGTACAGTTGTTTACAAAGGCCCCCCTTACTTTCTCATTGAATGTTGACATTGCACCCCATGTCCCCATTATACGATAAGAAGAGTGTGTCATTCGGCCCTAGTCCTCGATCAAAGAGTAAAGTTCGATGGAGCAAAAATAATATGTGACTTGGGGGGGGGGGGGGGGGGG